AAACTCAGCTCCTAGTACTTCTATAAGCAATTACTTTTTTCATGAAATGCTATGTCACAAACTTATTGAAATAGTGTACACACAGTGTATCCATGGTTACCAAAACAAGGGATCAGGGGCAAGGGAGAATGATGACTCCTGACCACATGCCCTCTTTCATTATGCTGAAGAATCAAAAAAACTGTAACCTCCTACTTTTTATCTTGATGTGCAAACCCAGAATGCTGGGTTGTTGAGAGAGAAACAACACCAAAGAACAACCTAGACTTTCTCCCTTTGAGATGCAGAGTCCTATGTTTGCATGTCATAGACTGCACCCCAGGGATGTAGATTCCCTGGCCTTCTGACCGCACTGGAAGCCCATCGTTCAACACTGGATCAACAAGACAGCTAACAAAATATGTAAAAGCACAGCATATATTTATAAAAGTGGTATCAATAAAAATTCAAAAGCAGAGCAAACAAAATTAAGAGGTGACAGAATGAAAGCATTTTGGTAACACAATTATTCAGTGAAACTCAAAAGCTTTCTGGGATAATTACTTTGCCTGGGACCAAAGGTCCATGAAGACAAGAGACATAAAGAATAAAAACAGAAAGGAAGCTTTACTTCACCAGTGTTGGACAAGCCCAATACCATAGTACAACAGGTTTTCTTCTCTTTCTACCCCACTGTCAATGCTACAAGTGTGCAGCATAATCCTATGGGAAGTGCTCTTGCACAAGCCCTGTTGAGAGGAAAGGGAACTGCACAAGAGCTCAGGTAGCGGCTTGTCAACATTTCATCAGGGTTTGCCTTGCAAAAAAGCACCTGCTGCTGGATCACACATGCATCACTCCTTGACACTCCTTTGAAGTGTGGAATGCCACCATTCAGAATACTCCTTTCTACCCCCTCCCCTAAAACACCCTGCTAGCCTTCTGTAGCCTCTGAGCATACTAAGCCCTTGATGGGGAGCCTGAGAGGTTTTCCCTTGTCCTTAGGACCCCTAGTCCCTAAAATGCTTTGTACTACTGCCAACCTTGGGATTTCCCCAAGCTGTAACTTCCTGCTTTTCCATGGATGTTGCTTCTCACCCCTGAATGCTGGAAACAGAGGCCCTGATCATATTTCTTTCTTTAAGCAGGAGGTTTTTGGATATGAACGCCTATTTGGATATGAACGCCTATTTCAATGTATTTTATCATGTTGTAAGCCGCCCCGAGGTTTCGGCAAGGGGCGGCATAGAAATGTTATAATAATAATAATAATAATAATAATAATAATAATAATAGTAATAATAATAATAATATTTACATGCAGGCTTTTTAGAATCAGCACACAAACAAGCTACAATTGTAAAGAGAACTAAGCACCTGCATGGGGAACGCCCTATTCAGAGGACAGCCAGTCACTTGGAGAGACTTCCAAGCTGCCAACCATCTGTCAATCCCATCCACACAGATTGAGTCACCTGCCTCTGGTGTTAAAAATAGGTTTCAGCTGATTATACAGCAGCTTTTCATTTAAAGAAAAAGAAAAGTTGCTTGCAGTTGTGCCCAGATAGAACAAAGCAACATGTTTCTAAACTCTTGAACAAAATTGCCTTAGAAGAATGCCTCAAAGGCTATTTATTGACAGCAAATTTTCATCCCACTTTTCCTTCATGAAAGTCAAGGTTCTTCCTGCATCTACATTTTGTCTACAATATGATCCTGAGATGAAGCTAAGTCTGAGAGATAGTGTTTGGTTCAAAATCACCCGATAAGAAGCTAAGTGGGACTTTGAACCCAGATCCCTTTAGCTCAAATCTGACACTCTAACCACTACTCTGTGCTGTCCTGAGCACCTTGTTGCTACCAGTTCAGATGATGGAGGTAACTTGTTTGCTCTCTGCTCTTAGAAACAGATGTATTCTGCTGCCTCTGGCTGTGGAGGTTCTATTTTTAGCTAGTATCATTGATACCACCAATACATTTATCTTTCAGGAGTAGGTCTGGCTATGCGTAAAAGAGCAGCCATGTCAATCATGAGAAGTACTGTAATTGTTTAGACAGCCCCTCAAGACAAGAATGAAGCGCTTTGGTGAGCAGGTGGCAGCAAACGGAAGCTGAGGCAAAGACTGACACATGAAAGGTTAACCCAACAACAGTCCAGGATCTTGCACTGAGTACAACTCTAATCATGACCCTTTGGGTGCATTTGCAATACTTGTTTAATCAAAATGCTCACCAGCCTTTGCCATAATTCACTAAGTGACTTTCCTGAGCTTCCAAAGTAAATCAGAGGTGGTAATGGAGGAAATACAACAGGATTACTTTTGTTCTCATGACCTCAGTTATTAAGTTCATGCAACAGACAGACAGACAGCCCAAACATATCCCATTTCACCACTGGAACTGTACACAGGATGCAAAAGTTCTGAGTCTGACATCCACTGGCCTCTGATTGTATGCCACAAAAAGGCCAGTGACATCTTTGGTACTATCAATAAAAACAGAGTTTTAAAGCCTTGGAAAATTACTAGAATTGTCATACTTGGTTACTGGCAAGACTCCATTTAGAATAACAGCACATTCAGTTCTGAGTACCACTGCTCAGGAAAGATATTTGACAATGTTGGAAGGGATTCAGAAGAAAGCTACAAGCAAGAGAAGGAACTGGGTGACCTCAGCCTAGAGAAGGGTTCATCATGAAAGTGTGTGTGTGTGTGCATGCACATGTGTGTGCATGCATATGTGCATGCGTGCGTGAATGTAAATATATAAAAGAGGGACTAGAATGTTCATGATTTTCATATATTTCTAAAGATAAGAGGAACAGTCAGACAAGAGATAATGAGTTTAAACTGCAAAGAAACAAATTACAATTCAACATCACTCCTTCTTAATGGCAAAAGCTAGCAGTGAGCACTGCCGCCATGAGAAAGTGGGGCCACTAAGAAACGAGAGAGAGAGCTATCAACATGCTGAGGGGACAAAAGTGAGCAGAAGTACAAACAATAGTTTTAAATAAAAAGCTAAGGGGATCAACCCCCAACCCACAATCCAGTGATGTCTGATCATGTTCTGCAGCCATGGGATATTGAATGACAGGAAAACAGGACTGTGGGGTGAAATGCCCTGTTTGGAGGGGATAGATGGTTAGAAGCATGAAAGGCATATTCCTGTTAGAAAGGAGGCAACACCACAAAATTCCGCTTGTTATGAATTTGGCAACTCCTGCTTGTTATGAAGAATTACCTAACCGTTATGAGTGATTCGGTAATGAAATAAGGGGCCCAGGGAGTTTAGGAAACTCCTTTTAAAATGTGTAGATGAATACCTCCCTAAAACATTATAGGCATAAAAGATTCTGCCTCAGGGCAGCAAGTTGGAATAAAGCCTGCTTCACATGTGCATGTTCATTGCTTAATGATTGTCACAATAAGTGATGACTTGTGGGTGGGAGAATGTGCCATCACAGAGCTTACTCCTCAGATAAAACATTCATAGCAACCAGTAAGAATTCAAATGCAATGCTTTTCTGTGGAGATAGTCTAGGCATTCATTTTCAGGTCACCAAAGCCTGATTCATAAATCTATGTACATCATTTTATTTCCCTAAACTTCATTGCAATATGTACTATGATGGAGGAACCATAAACACTCTTTCTGTGGCATTCAGCCCATGATAGCCCATACATACATGCATGTCGCTGCTGCATGCTACGATTGTGAAGTATGTGTGAATTTGTCCCAAGTGTACAAAAATCAAGCCTGCATGTACATTTGCAAACCAGCCATTCAGCAGCCTTCAGCTAAGTTCATTTCAAAGCCCGTGTTGTAGGGAATTCCTTTTTATCTGATCACAGGGCCTTCCTTACTCCCATCTTGCTCACACAAACATAGAAAGCTGCCAATCCTGATTTCTTTCCAGCTGTACCTAGAGAAACCAAGAAGTGGGACCGTTCAGCATGCAAATCACATATTGTATCACTGAACTGCAACCCTTTCCTTACCACATTGTCAATTTTCTCATAAGCAGTCACAATTGCTCCTCTTCTATCCCCCTCCTCATTTTTCTCTGTACCATGGGGGCAATCCTCTACCTATCTATGCCATGGAACAAAATTTAACCTGATCTTTCCATCTCTCTTTGCACTCAGTCACCCACAATCCATATTTCTTTCTGAGCAATGGGGCAAAATTCCCTAGCCAACATCAAACCTTCAAGCTTTCCCATATCTTTGCACTGGGGCAAAGGCATCTTCTGATGGCACACCCATACTCATTCTTCTCTCTCTCTCCCTCTGATGGGAAAGCAGAATTCTCAACCTTTGGAAGTTTCATCAGTGCAGATGAACAAGTCAAAATCCACCATCTAATCATTCAGTTTATCTCTCACGAAAGTCAACGTTATTCTTCCTTCCTTCCTTCCTGCACCACCATCTTTGAATGGGGTCCAACTTCTCCCATGGGCCCAACTGCCAACAATTCTCTAAGCTCTACATCCACCTCTGCCTTTACAATGGGCTACACTGCCAGGGGATCATTTCATTCATCCTCCAGTCCTCTGATCTACGGGTTGCATGGGCACTATTTCCATTAATCTATTTCTATTGATGTGGTTCCCATCCCCCAAAAAAGCCATCTTATTTCCACATCAATTTCCTCTGCTTTAGCAACAAATTTTCCTTACCACTTTATTTGACACAGAGATCAACGATGCCCTCCCCTCTCCAAGGTACCTTCGAAAATGGGACAAAATCCCTCCCTCCTACTCTTGACTACCTCGCTCTCCTTCCGAATCTCTTGGCTGTCCTCGCCAGGTTGCAACACTTCCCCTATTAAATATAGAAACAGGCAGCATCACCTTTCACTCCCCATCTGCCAAGTCGACGGGGCAAAGTCCAAAAGGAGCCCTCTTCCCGCAATTAGAGGACGAGGTGCCCAGATAACCTCCCAGACACAGCGCTGAAGACCTGCGCCCCCGTTCCTCATTCCAAGAGTAGGATGGGCTCCTTTCTCCCCGCAACTACCTGCACGCCGCTGCGAGTCTTGCTTTCCTCTGGACTCTCCGTTTTTGCAAACCCTGCAGCAACGGCTACTGTTGCCACTGCAAACCGGAACCAGGAAGCCGCTGCTCAGCTAAGCCGAAAGAAGCCAGCTTGGCCCCTCTCGCATCCGCTTTTGCTGCACTTGACTCGCCTCTGCCGCCAGGCCTCTTGGAGGACTGTCTGGTTCCAGGCGGCTCGAATTTGATTACACTGATATTCCGCCTTTTCTCCCTCTTGCAAGGAACCCAAGGCGGTGCGCGTGCGCATCCTCCGCTCGGTAATGGCCCGCGGGCATGCTTAACGTGGGGATGAGCTTGCATGCCCAGCCGGCATTCCACCCCTAGGTTTTGCTTTCCGAGGGATAAGCTGCTCAGCTTCCACAAAACCATTCCCTATCGATATCTACATGAGAAGGGACTTAGCACTTGAAAAGCCACGCACTAGACTGCCTGACATCAAAGCATGCACGAAAGAAAATAGAGGAGCCCTGCCTAAAGGGAATCTAGTGGCTGCAGGTTTCTTAAAGAGATATACATATACAAATATCATACTCTCCAAGTTATCCCCACAGCAAGCCTGTTGATTAGGACAGGTTCAGTCAGTCAAACCTGGAGAGTCTCATGGCCAAGGAGGACCTATAACCCAGACCTTCTGAGTCCCATCCAACATAAGGATATAAGAACATGAGGAGCATCTGGGAGCAGAGCAAGGGTCCACTCTATTCACACAGGGGCCACCAGTCAGATGCCCGGAGTAGACTGGCAACAACACCCTCCTTATTTTCAGCAGCAAATGATGTACACAGGTTTAACACTTCTGATACTGGAGGTAGCATATAGCCATCAGAACTAGTAGGCATTGATAACCTTACTTGCATAATCCCCTTTTAAAACAGGCCAAATTGGTGAAAGTGAGTTCCATAGTTTAACTATGTCCTATGGGAAGAAATACTTCCTCTGATCTGTCCCAAATCTCTCACCAATCAGCCTCATGGAATGACCTTCATTTCCCTCTAGAACTCTCACCACTACACTACACTGACACTCTGAATGCCAGAAGTCATATTTGACTGCAATCCTATCCCTCCTTCTGCAGAACAGTAGGTCCTTCTGAACACGAGAGCTTACTTCCCAGTTGACTGGGATTTTGCAGCAGTACTTATAACACCAGGGCTGAGTCTAGATAATAATGACTTCAATAAGGCGGCCACTTATTCATTGCCAAAAAGAGAGGTGCTAGGTTTGTATAAAATCTGCATATGCCAATATATATAAATGAATGCACATAAGGAAATTGTAATTTAAATAGATATGCCATGCATCTCACCACTGTAGTGGGGAAGACTCTTATCTAGGTGAGCTGTGTGGCTGTTGTCTATGGTCCAGGTACTGTTGATGGGCAACTTCAAAGCCCCTTATCTCCATTTTATGGTTATCATTCACCTGGACTTGGATAGAACAGCTCTTCAAGTAAAGGTTACAGTCAAATGCAGAACATCCTCAACTATGTCCAGGGCTGTGAACTGCCACTTGTTTTGTTATGGCTATTCAATTCTCAGTGGTTCAAGAACAGTTGGCTGGTATCACAAAATTCATTTTGGGATCACATGAGAGGCAGAAATTAGCTTTGCATTTTGCCAGCTTCTTCTATGTAGTGATCAGCTGAAGGAGAGTAAAAGGGGTGGGCAGACCTCTTCCAACATACCATCCAATAGTCTCCAAGCTTGCTTTTATTCAGCACATTGTTTTTCTAACCATGTTGGCTATGACAAACACGCTTGAAAGTAAGTGGAGGCTCTGATACATCTTTGTGTGTTGGGACTGAGCAGAAATTGCAGTGGACAGCCCACTTTGAAATGCTGGTGCTTACCTTTAACGTCCTGAACAACTTGGAACCCAAGTACCTGGTGGAGCATTGCTTCCCATAGCATCCTGTTTGCACATCATGGCCAACTGGGGATCAGGATACCTGAAAAACTGCCTTTCCCCATTACGCACCTACCTCTTCTTTGAGTCAGAGGCACTTCTTGGAGAACCATCCTCCAAAGAAGTGAGGGAGATGATGAATAGAAGGCCTTCTCGGTGGTTGTGCCGCACCTTTGGAATGGGCTCCCCCAAGTTTGCCTGGCACCCTCGTTACCAGTGTTCTGGCACCAGGGGAAGACTGTCCTATTTTCTAGGCATTTTAATATTTTTAATATTTATATATTGTTTATATTTTTACAGATTTTTAATTAAGCTTTCCTGCTTACCAACATTGCTAATGGTTTGCTGCTTTGGTAAAGCTGTTCTTTTTCTCTCAGACATTTTAACTATTGCTTTATCTTGCCTTTGCTGTCTATTTATTAGTATTGTCTATTCTTATCTGGTTGTTATAGTTTGGATGTTAGTAAAAAGCCCTGATGAAAAATGGTGAATAAATGTTCTAAAATAAATAAATTTTACAGTCATACATAGCTTCTTGCATTTCCCAAAATGAAAATTATGGCAAATCAACTAATATTTAAATTAATAACATGCAGGTATGTATTCATGGTGCAGAAATCCTATCTGGTTTCAAAGAAAGTACCCAGGCCGATGTCAATTTTCTTCCCTTAATGCCAGTTGTCTAATACAGTAATATACACAGCAGGATCCTTAAAAAAAGAGTTTAATAATATTACAACTGCAAACATGAGATATAATTCTTTAAGTCCTTAAGTGTAAAAACCTCCACAGAGATGAGCATGATGCTGCATTTAATACTTGGTTTCTCAATTCACCAGTCTGTCAAGTTTGTTATAATTTGTAATAGACTTTGATTAGGTGACTTGATTTGCTGCATTACTTTGATGCCTGCTCGATTTTACATAAGGATACAGCCCTATGCATGTTCAGATAGGAAAAAAATCCTACATCACCCAGAATTTCCCAGCCCCAGAAGAAATTCTGAGAATTCTGTTGGACTTCTTTCTGTCTAAACATGCATAGGATTACACCTTAAACCAACGTAAATAGGAATCAAGGGCTGACCTGATATCCCGACAAAAAGCTGAAATCCAGCACCCCCTCATACACAATCTGGTCATAGTTTTATCTCCTCTTAATCCAAATGATATACTGAACTGATATCAGCTCTGTCAACTTAAGGACGCCCAACCTAAGCCATGAACATGCAACGGACAGATGGTAATTTGTATCTGAGGCGAGGAATAGTAAGGGTATTCAGCAAAGGCCTTCTGAATTGTCAGGAGTCTCCGCCACCTCCGTTGCTTCCACAGCTTCACAGCTCTGCTGTTTAACATACTGGTCCAACAAGGAAGTCAAGAAAACAGGTCCGCGCCGCAGAAGTGTGCTAGTCTGGGATGTCATGAGAGAAAGAGCACCCACCACCTCTCCTTGGGTGATCACCATGGATGGTAGATTGGCATAGTTTGTGAAACCGTGTTTGCTTAGGATGACATTATCAACATATGCTCCTGGAAGGGTGAGACAAAGAGATGCATGGGTAGCACTTAAATATTTTTAAAATCTTGTTGAGAAAAGAAATGCTGAATCTGAATACACTGTAGTTTTAATTCCAGAACCCACATGCAGAATTCTAGACACATATGCATACACCATCAGAATGCTTGCTGACTGATGTCTAAAAAGTAGAATGTCATTTCTTGAACAAATATAGAATTAACTGCCACTTTTGCCTAATATACACATGCATTTGGTTTTCCTTGGGAACAGTTTTTGGTCTGTACTTGCAAGAAGTGACTCCCCCCCCCCCCACTCAACACATCCACAGCCTCATTAGACATAGAAACATAGAAACAGAGCGAGGGGCCTCCTGGGCCATCTCGTCTGACCCCCAGCTCCAGCAGGCTCCGCTCACGACATGCCCACCACGTGCATGTCCAGCCTATCTTGAACACCCTCACTGATGGGGCCTCAAAGACCTCTCATAGACCTTTTATCTTATTTATTTGCTACAATTATATCCCACTTTTCTTTTCGGAGAAACTTCCATATTGCTCCCAAGTATTTACTTAAGAAACAGTTTACAGGGCCCAGCCTCTTTAGGTTCAGCAACAGAACTGTGTCACATGCCTTCACAGTATGATCTGGTCTAGCTCTGTGATATGATTACACCAAGACCAGCTGTCTCTGATCTGGTGCTCCTCAGATGTGTTCAACTACAACATCCACCAGCCCCAGCTAGCAAAACCAAAGTTTGGAAATACTGGGAGTTATAGTTCACAATATCTAAAGGACACCAACTTCAGGAAGGCTGGCCAGGATAGTCTGCATCCTCTCTGTTATCAAGCAGCTTCCCTCACTGTTACCCAACTTTATGCCATCTCTATAATTCACTGCTAAACCTTGGATAACTCCCATCTTATTAATAAATATGGATTTTAAGCCCTCTAGGTAAAAACTGTACCATGTCAGTTTTTGGTTGGATGCCTAGAACTCTAAGAGTGCCATTCAATAGTACAAAGGTAGAGTATACATACTTACCAAGGAGGGTCACCTGTGGAATATTCTTCAGGATGCGCAACATTTCCCGTGCCTTTGTCTCCTGACTCACTATTAGAAGATTGCGCCCCACAAAGAGAGGAAGGAGATTCTTATACCTGGATTCCGAAAGGAAAGCTCTCACAATCTAGAAGGGTGAAGGTAAAGTCCTGTTAATCATCAAGAACAGTATTGAATGGGGTCCCCCATTAAAAGAAGGCTCTTAGATCTAGCGGAGACTCTTATGAGTGGAATGGAGAAGGAAATTTTTGACTCATTCTTCTCACTGCAGCACCGTACATCAGCGTCCTGCAGCTATGAAGGGTCCCCCAACTCTGTATGGGATTGTGGGAGCTGCAGAGCAAAGTGACCAAGCAGCAAAAATTACCTGCCTTTTCATTCCACTGAGGGAAGCATCTGCTGAATCAAACCACCTTATGTCAGCAGATGGACACCAAGTAGATACAACTCCACCTGCACTGGAACTTTTAAAAGACTGGGCAAGTTCTCTCAACTGAGGTCTGGCAACTGTAGCTATAAGGGATATTAAGTTAAAGAAAAGAGGGGAAAGAGGATGTGCAAAGACTATCATGTACCAAAGATTTGGAGGAGACAGTTGTCCTAGAATATTCTAGAGTTTAGTTAAACCAATATTACATAGTGGTTAGAGCACTGGACTGAGGATCTGGGAGCTCAAGGTTCTAGTCCCTGTTCAGTCATGGAACTCTGACTTTGGGCCAGTGACAGACTTTCAGCCTAACCTACTTCACAGGGTTATTGTTGTGAGGATAAAATTGAGAGGAGGATAATATAAGTTGCCTTGAGTTCCTTGAAAGGAAAAAGGTGGAATATAAATGCATAAAATAAGCCAGCCCACTGGACAGTCCTGAAATGGCATCCAGTAAATCACACTGAATAGAAAAGAACAGCATGCTCTCTGAGAAATTTTTGCCAGTCCTGCCAAAGCTCTTTTTGCTCAACTTGATTTTTTTCCTGAATAGCCCCCGCCCCATCGCCAAATGATGCCTCAAAGGTTTCACCTTAAGGAAAATTTGGCAGCATCTAGTTGTTTTCTAACAAAATTCCAGAACAGCAGTAGGTTGTGATTTTTGTACCAGCGTTTCTGATGATACCAGTGAGATGTGGCATGCTCACTGATTTTCTACTCCACATACACTTGTGCACACCCCTGTGCATCTAGGGCAGCAAATCTGCACATAGAAACTAAGGTCCACATATGTTTTGTTTTCAAAGGGGTAGGTAGCTGCTGAGGGGAAAAAAGCTCATGCCAATGCACACTGCATCTCAAGGATTGTTTACATAAAACTGTACCTTATTGGGGAAGAACTTGACATGGATATTGTGTTTCCGCAGCCGATGCTTCATGAATATCATGTCATTTCCAGGAAGATAGTTGTACTGGCATACCACAATCATTTTATTTGTGAGGAAAGTTTCCTTCACGTCCCGAAACAACAGCTTCTCATAGCCATTTGGCTGGGGACAAAAATGGGTTTGCAACCATTAAGACTGACACAATGGACTGTCTAAACAGATACAAATTCAGAAGTTTCAGATTATTCTGCTAGGTAGCAAAGGATCTATTTCATTTGGAGTTGACATGTTTGTATGGTTATAACAATCAGTATGCATGCTTGTTCAGGAAACAGATGAATTCGGGATTTAAGCAAATGTTTTCCGCTAGTCTTTTAATGATCTAACAGTTTAATTTATGCATATCTTAGCTAACCTGCCCTCTGCCAGAATATATTACTTCCAAGCTCTGTGAACACTAGCAAAGCATTAAAACTAAATAAACATTTAATTTAAATGTGTACTCCAATGGAAAGAGTTTGGTGATATGAAGGTTAAGCAGAGAACATGTGTGAAAACTGTGAATTCTGCTATAGTTTTAGGAGGAATATGACTTATATGCATCAAACCTTTCTCCTGTATTAGGAGTGGGCAACTTTGGGAGATGGGGGACCATTTTCACCCCACAGTCCCTTCCCTTAGGCTGGACCTCATTGAAACATTTTTTAATTGAGAAAATTTAGAGTGGCTACAGAGCTCACGTAGTTATGGAGCATTAAAAAGGTAAAAATGGGATTAAAATGGTTAGCAGTGTGCTCTTTTATTTCAAAAAGGATTTTTACAGCTTTGTGGGACCCCAGGGGCCAAAAAGTGGCCATGCCTGTCTTATACAAATGAGGTTAGGAGCAAAGTGCCACAAGTCCGAGTATCACATAATGCCAGGAATATTAACTACAATCTGTAACAAAAGAGGGCAGTTAAATCTTATCTTGATAGGCAACTGGCATATCAGAGTATGTTTTACTTCTAAAATCTTTCAGGTATTGGGCAGGCATGGTTTCAATCCAATGTTCATAGTCCTAAGAACTAGAAACTTCATCCAAGGAAACAAGAAACCTTGCAATTCCCAGGTTGATTTCATATTACTGGTTTGGTGTAACTGGTATACACACAGACCTAATTATTATTTTTATCTGCCGTCACATCATATCAGATTGACTCAGGCATCAGAGGCCATATAAACAAGACAGTGCTACAGCACTTCTAGAAAATTATAAAGCTCTGATTTTCATGAATTTCTTTCAGAAAGAAGCTCCTCTGTTGAATACCTCTGATGTTTCTTGGCATGCCAACAAGATATTCGTCACAAGCTGGACTCTACTATTGAATCAGATTCTATTGGGGAGGTGCCAATGACGCCGTCGAGTCTTCAACTGATGGATGAATTTCAGTTGTTGAGGCCTGATGATGTGGACAAGGTGCTTGGACAAGTACGTCCTACCACCTGCTTACTAGACCCTTGCCCATCTTGGCTACTCAAGAATGCCAAGGACGGGATTGTGACCTGGATCCTGGAGGTGGTCAACGCATCTTTAAGAGACAGCTAGGTACCTGCCCCTTTAAAGGAGACGGTAGTTCGGCCAGTCTTAAAGAAGGCATCCCTGGATCCAGAGGTGGTCGCCAATTATAGACTGGTGGCCAACATCCCGTTCTTGGGCAAGGTGCTAGAGCGGGTGGTGGCGGGGCAACTCCAGGCACTCTTGGATGAAACTGATTATCTGGACCCATTTCAGTCTGGCTTCAAACCCGGGTACGGTATTGAATCTGCCTTGGTTGCCCTGTACGATGACCTGTGCAGGGAAAGAGACAGGGGAAGTGCGTCCCTGTTGGTTCTCCTGGACCTTTCAGTAGCTTTCGACACCATCAACCATGGTATCCTTCTGGATAGGCTAGCGGGATTGGGAGTTGGAGGCACCACTTTGTGGTGGTTCCGCTCCTATCTCAATGGCCGATTACAGAAGGTGGTGCTGGGGGACTATGGCTCTGCGCCATGGCAGTTATGCCATGGAGTTCCGCAGGGATCCATTTTGTCCCCCTTGCTATTTAACATCTACATGAAACCGCTGGGAGAGGTCATCAGGAGGTATGGGCTGTGGAATCATCAGTACGCTGATGATACCCAGCTCTACCTCTCGTTTCCACCAATCCAGGTGAGGCAGTGGCTGTACTGAACCGGTGCCTGGTCGAGGTAATGGGCTGGATGAGGGCCAATAAACTGAAGCTCAATCCAGACAAGACGAAGGTCCTGTTGGTGGGTGGCCTAGGCTTCGGGGTGGGGGCCTTGGGCCTTGTCCTAAATGCGGTTGCACTCCCTCTGAGGGACAGGGTTCGCAGCTTGGGAGTGCTCCTCAACCCTAAGCTGTCATTAGAAGCTCAGGTGATGGCAGTGGCGAGGAGCGCCTTCCTTCAGCTCCGGCTGATCCATCAGCTGCGTCCCTACCTGGAGAACGACTGCCTGGCGACAGTGACCCACGCATTGGTAACTTCCTGACTAGACTTCTGTAACGTGCTCTACGTGGGGCTACCCTTGAAGACGGTCCGGATACTTCAATTGGTGCAAAATAGAGCTGTCAGGTTGCTGATGGGGACTGGACGTTGTTCTCACATAACCCCAGTCTCCGTCAGCTTCACTCGCTCCCTATTGAAGTCCGGGCCCAATTCAAGGTGTTGGTTATGATGTATAAAGCCCTTAACGGCTTGGGACCTGGTTATCTAAAGGAACGTCTGTGTCCATATATGCCCTCCCGCCCCCTACGATTGGCAGCGGATGCCCTTTTCCGGGAACCCTCCGTGAATGATATTAGGAGGGTGAGTACCCGAAGGAGAGCCTTCTCTGCGGTGGCGCCCCACCTATGGAATACGCTCCCCAGAGAGGTCCGCCTGGTGCCGTCATTATTTGCTTTTCAGCGCCAGGCGAAGACCTTTTTATTTAAAAGTTATTTTAACTGTTAATTTATTATTATTGTATTTATAGATTTTAATATATATGGCCGAGATGGTACCAGTTTTTAAATTATTAATTGTATTTTTTATGAATGTTGTGAGCTGCCCTGAGGCTTTGTTGCTATGGGGGTGGCATAGAAATGTTTTAAATAAATAAATTAATATTAATTTATTATGTATGTATTCCTAAACCATATTTCTGGTTGACAGGGCTCAGGTGGCAGTTTATAATTGGCTGTAAAGCCATATATGGCAAAATCTGGTGAAAATACATACAAAATTCAATAAAGAAGTTTAAAACAACTAGAAGAGTGAACTATACAACATATTCAGATTTAACTGAAATACATCACTGCAGGTGCTCATTTCACACACAAAGTAACTACAGCAGTTTTCAACAATTCTTCACAATGATGGTGGAATATAACTAAAGATGTTAATCCCAAGCAAGCACTTTAGAGCTTTATTTACCAACAGCAGTATACATGTACCAAAGGCTCAAGTAGAAATAGGACAATGGACATCAGGACAAAGCACAAAAATTATATGAACCCTGCTAATGAACCCTAGTAACATCACACAGAAAGAAGTGTGACAAAGGCACTCAAGAATTTTACCCCCAAACAAGCTTCTCCATAGCCACAACCAGATTAGCAAGGCTGGACTGCATCATTACCTCCTCAACAAGATTAACACGGGGTTTGCACTCCTCTGGGATTGCAGGTTTTGGAGGGATATATTTTGTCACTTCCATCAGCTTCTTCCGCATAAGGTTCATAGGTTTCCAGTGGCGGGTGACAGCTTTGGAGCCATGGCGGATGAACTGAAGAGCAGGCAGCCAGCCTGTAGCAGTGGAAAAGCATTTAAAAATCAGATTATTTTACAATACAGGGCATTTTGTGACCTACCAAACTGTTTACAGACAGCCTTGCTAACCATAAAAACAAGTGCTGTCAAGAAACTTGGAGTTGATAAGGTTCAAAACATGCTATCTTCTACCTTGGAAGTCTAGTCTCACACAGTCCAAGCTGGTGTGTTACGAGCAGCAAACATTAAGGGATGTTTACAGAGCACATTCGTTTCAAAAGACCCATGTAAGCCAGCCAAGTCATGGGCTATAGGGAAGACAAAAAACTGAAGGCCATACTGAATAGTAACTTTATAACACTGTTTTACAAATGTACACTGTGTCTACATTTCATATACTGTTTGAAGGCCTGGTTGCTCAGAGATTATTGCTTCTAAACCTTTTACACACTAGGCATAAAATCAGTCCCAAAAACCACTTATATTTGGTTTTGAAATTTACCTTTGTATTGTTTTTGTGTGTAGGGTGTAAAAGATTTAGACACAGCAGGCCTCTGTGATGAGGAACACTGAGGGATTCCAACTGAACAATTCCATTCTCTTAGGAAAAATATGCAAAGGGAAGCATTTTCATCATAAAATAGAATGTTCCTGCAGACACAGAGTTCCTCACATGACCCTTTTACTGCAATCCTAAATACTATGGAATAAATATCACTTATATCAATGGGATTTACTATTGGAATTGCATTATTAATGGCACTGTTATTTTATTTATTTTAATTAATTAATTAACTGATTAAAATATTTGTATCCCGTCCTTTATGGCAGCATCTCAGGACGGCTTACAAGCTTAAAATCAACAACAATAAAAAAAACAATCAATAATACAATAGTCAATAATAGTAATAATGCAATCAATAATAAAATAAAATCAGAGTTAAAAATAAGTAAAACACATTCAAAGAGAAAGATAATATAAATAATTAAGATTTTAAAAAAGCAACTGTTAACTTCTAAAATCCCTAATTCTTAAAATAATGTTCAAATAAAAAGGTTTTCACCTGGCGCCAAAAAGAGTATAGGCTTGGTGCCAGGTGAACCTCTCTGATGAGTGCATTCCACAATCTTAATAGTTTATCTGTATGATCAAACCTAAACATAAATAAATCCAGGTTATGTGTAGACCTAGTCATTTCGGCTTTAAAAAGTAGCATCTAATATGCTTAGAAAGAGACTTGGAACTGGAATCTCCCTCCCACAAGATGAAGGTACCCCCCCCCGCCCCCACAGCTCACTTTGCGCTGCAGGGTCTTCTGACTTTCTGTGCAGCATTTTCAGGGAGGGTTGTAATGGGAAGGAAGAGATGGGGAAGTCCATTTCTGCCAGTTCAGTTGATCCAATGTAAATGCACATCCAACCCATATATAATTTATATTATAAATTTATAAAATTTATAAATTGTAAATGTATAATGAATAGGAACAGAACTGCCATAGGTCTTAATGGCATCACAATCAAGCATTGCTTAGGGTTCTCTTGCATTAATAATACCAACAGTTTATTATGGACAAGGCAATCAAAATATTATTGGCAGGCTTTGCCCATATTATTATATTAAGTAACATCCCAGTGGGCAACAATAAGTTTAATCTCATTTGCCAATTAAACATCAGACAGGAAAATTTCCACTGATACAGGGAATTTGAACATCCATTCCAAAGTGAATGCAAAGGCAGCAAGGACAAAAAAAATACCTGTTGGGAAATCTGAGTGTGGCTTTCTTAAGAGTTCTCAAACCAAACTGATTTAAAGAAAACAGACAATTTCCTTAAGTCCCTCTGACTTGGTTTGTCTTGCTTTACCAATGTGGCAAAAGGCATGGCACTCCACTGTCTAGTTAATTAAAGAATGGCAACCCCAGAAATGCCACAAGCAGAAACTAACAGATTCATAGGCAGAATACAATGAAGCAGGAAGCATCTGAAAAAATTAGTGGGAATGAAACTGTATACATAAGCCCCTAAATTCTGGCACTTAGGGGAGTATATATAGAATTGAACTCGCACTGTAACCCTAGAAATACCATACACTGGGCCCCTTTAAGAAAACCTGGATTTCAAAAGTGCAAGGTGTAATGTTTCTAGAACCTAACTCTCCAACAAGCTACAGGGAATGGAGCGCGTACGGAAGATAATTATTAGCGGACACGTAACGTCAGAAGAAGAAAAACATGCAACTCTAACCCCCATCTGTCCTTACCAGTTTTGCAAACCCTTTCGCAGCAGCTCCCAAGAGCCGCCATCTTGAGAAGGTGTGGAAAGCAGAAAGCATTATGGGATTGGAAGGAAACGTCCCTCCTTGGGAAGGATTTAAAGGGGAAGGAGTTCTTTTCTTATCTCCATGAAAAGGCCCTGCCCACAGGACACCTTGTCTCCTAGCAACGGGCTCGCTCGCTCTCTTGCTTACTCCCTTTAAGATGTAGGCAGCGGGTCTGGCTGCAGCTCCAGCTTCGATGCGAGAGGGGATTCTTGCCAAGCCGTCTCCTGTTCTTGTTAAGAAGGCCGCCCCACCGCCCCCCAGTTTCCACTGTCTCCCCCAGGCCCCGCTGCTGAAGCTTTATCACCGAACCCTCTTTCCATTCCCTAATCCCTATTAGGGCACACCCTGTTCAAGCTACTGGTAGAGTCTCCTGCCCGAACTTCGCTCCCATCTGCCGCTGCTACAGTAAAGAACCCTCCTCAAGGCCCCATCGCACGTGCTGCTTCGGGATCCTGTTGCTGCTCGGGATTCCCGCAGAGGGACCCAAGAAGCATTGCTAGACACATCTTCAACTGTAACAAACCCGCATCCCATAGGCATTGCTAAGGGGGCTTCAGCGATCCTTTCGTGTTTCCTCTTTAAGCCGAGCTCTTTTCAGGCCGGCCTCACCCACAAGGATTCCTTAGAAACCGCCTCTTCAAGCTGTTGCTACGCAACCAAGCGGCTACCAAACTGCACTTTGTGGGATTGCCCACACAAGCCTCCCACCCCTCCCTTTCTTCAGAAACCTCCATCTGTTCCTCAGGAGATCCCAGGATCTCAGGATTCCCATCTGTTAACTAGGCAACCCTCAAGCTGTTGCTAAGAAGGTTTCTGCTTCCCTCACCCCTGGTCTGCGACCCATCTGTGTTCCTTTTGCTAGTTCCAATTGGTTGCTATGATGTTACCATGAAACTTCCCAGCCCCACGGATTCTTGGATTGCCCCACACAGAGGCATTTCTTAGGCCTCGTTAGGCAGTGGCGTTATTGGGAACTATATCTCAACTGGCGACACTTTTCATCAAGCATGCCAGGAGGTGAGTAAATTTGTCTGAAAGGACCTCAGACTTTCAGTTGAACTGCCTGCCTTTCCCTCTTATTTATCTGAACGAGTGTATACACACCTACACATATATACATATGGGGGGTGAAAAAAGGGTGGGACAAAGATGTTGGATACTAATTAATAACAATCCTGTACATATTTTCTTGGAAGCAAGACAGACTGTGTCCAATAGTATTTACTCTTTGTGTTCTCAAAACTGCTGCCTTACAGCACCAACCTACAGGCTTCTACTCAAAAATCCCACAGAGTTCACGGAGGCATATTTCAAGTAACAGGTTATTGGATTAGTCTGTTCTATTGCTACTGTTAGCCATTTTTCATTGCTACATCAGGCACTTACCAAACAATGATAGGATAGGAAGCAAGTGATTATAGAGAGAAACCCACCCTAAGTATTTATCTGAATTTGCTAGGTGTGGCATTGTGCTTACAGTGTCAAAATAAGGTTGGAGAGAGACCCAGGTTAAATCTTCACTCAGCCTTGAAATTCACTGCACGATTTTCTTGGAATAGTCACTATCTCTCAGCCTAAGCTACCCCCACACAGTTGTTGTGAAAACTGGGAAAAGCAGCAATGTATGGTTCCTTGAGTTTTATAAAGATGGGCTTCAAAAGCAGCAAGTTTTTTTAAAAAAGTTGCTCTAGAGAGCTAGGGTAGCTGATCTGTGACTAGTGGAACAGATTTCAGTTTAGCTATAAATTCTCTAGTCAGGTAGTCTTTGCATGTAGACATTAATTTGTATGACATATTTCACATATATTTTTGTAAGACATATGGGAAATATGTCACACAAGCAGACTAATTTTAAAAATCAGATTAGTGACTTTGAGGGCTTATTTACAAGACTCTTGCTAGGTGATCCACTAAAAACTGACCAGCAGCTTTGAACCATAATTCTATTTTTTTTGCCTGACACTGCCTTATAGTATTTCTAAATCAAGAAGTGCCTTAAGCACTTGAAAGATATTCTCATGTTTGTAATTAACTTGCATTAAGATGGGACATTACATGGATTATTAGCTAAATATCCATAGGGTTTGAGATCCAGATAAGCAGAACTGCTTGTAATCTTACTTTCAGAAAATTCACAGTCATCCCCCAAAGGAGGGGTGACCTTGACAAAATTCCTCATTGCCCAGAGGAATTTGAATGTGCCAGCAGAAAAACAGACCCTGGGGAGTATGTATGCTGTAGTTGCTTAAGTTGGTATACAGCTTTCATTGGGATGCTGATAATCCATGATGTAGTGATACCAGGGCACATAGGGGTCAAAGTGCTGATATGTTTTGATTAGCAAGAACTATGATGTCATTGGCAAACCCACTCAGGCTGCCCTGTTCTCTCTGAGCTCAGCTACAGTCCTCTCAGCAGCTGGGAAGAAGCAGATCCTTCTAGTTACATATACTGATGTCAGTTATCCCTCTTTTCATGAAATTAATTTTAACTACTTCAGTGGGTTGCTCTTAAATGTGCAATTAAGACCCATTAGATTCCACAAAATAACCTGCTACAGCTAGGTTATTCATATGGATCAACACAGCTGCCTCAACTCTCCATGGAGGCCTGGACATGGGGTGTCATAGTGGGCAGCAATTCACTTTAAGCTTTACCACTACACTGCTGGTGATAAAAGAGAAGGGGGAAAGGAGGAATAGTGCTGATGACTAAGAAATGTCTCTCACTTCAGATCCCAAGCTCTGACTTCTCTCCAGATCCTCCGGCTAGACAGGAAGAAAATTAGCTGCATCAACAACCTTCAAGGTTTAGAACAGATCCACAGCATCTGCTTGCAACAGGTAACACACCCGTTTATTGCTTTTACCATTGTATTACAACATTCTCTTTAAAAGTGAATCCATCAAAGTCTGATTCCCTTATGCTACATGTATGTGAGGTTTACATCCAAGGAGTTTCCTCCTTGACAAAACATGCAGGAATGACTATAGGACCCTTAAAGCAAAGGCACCATGCTGGCGCATAAGAAGGAATCTGAAGTTCACAGTGGGGCTGTAACTTCATTAGGACCAATTATCACCAAATAGTGATCAAGATTTCAGGTTCTTCAGAACCCTCTATCAGGCTGGATGTTAAGTCAAAGTGGAGATGGGAGAAGTTAGCATGCTCTAGACTATAAAATCTTCATTAGTCATATTCCAAATAGGGAGTGTAGGGTTTGGACATTGTTTCATTATCCCAGAACCTTAGGTGTAACCTGATACCTGCAACAAATAGCAGTAACTCATTCATTCTGGAAACTCCATCCTGATTCTAAATTCCTAAAATGCAGACCTCTTGGTTCCAACTTCTTGTCTAATTTTTGTATTGTTTTGTTCCTGTCCTGCCTCCTGCTTTCTGTACCACCTAGTCTGATGAAAAGTCCTGGAGAACTCAACTTGCACCAATTGCAATATTTTGATTGGTACTTATATAGATTTTGCTTCACTATGCCCACTACCTTTGATTTAAAAATTAAGTTAGGTTCCTCTAGGTGCTATGCAGGTTTCAGATTACACTTAGGGATGTTGGGACAGAGACAAATAATGGCTGGACTTTTGCACTTACTTATTGTGCTAAGAAGAGTTTTCTTCTGTCAGGGGGACAGCTTGTACATCTTGCCATAATTTCAAAGATGCCTCCTACTTGTAGCACTGAACCAGGACAAAGGCAGCAGAAATGCATGTGTACATCATTCTCCTGATTTTCAATGTTCAGGTTGTGAATGCTGTTACTTCATAGCACCTTTCCAGCACAAGAGGGAGGAATCAGCAGACGTAGGGAAACTGTAAGGTTCGCAGAAGTATATATAATCTTTAGAAAACAAAATCCTTAAGGAGGGGTGTGGAATCCCAACAACTCAATGAGGATAGAGTGTGTACATACATGTGCATTTGGATGTATAATATACACACATACAAATTCCTTCCCAACCCCTTCTGGAAATTCATGTCCTTCTTCATGATTTAGAAGTTGACTCAAACTAATTTCATTTTTAGAATCAAATAAAGAAAATTGAAAACTTAAGCTGCTTTCCCAATTTGAAGTAAGTAATATTTCTAATCTTTCCAACATGTTCAAATACTTAGAAAGGCAGAAGATTGAACAACAATTTAAAAAGCATGTATGAAAGCAATTCCCACTATTCACAAATGAAGCTCAAATGTTTAAGACTTTGGGTCTATAAAAGAGGAGGAATACAATATTCTATAATCTGATTCATAAGGCAACTGCAAGTGAGGCACCATGCACAGAATACAGCGACCAGGTTCTGAGTTCAGATGATTTGCAGTCAACATTAGGTGGGCAATGCAGTGGTACCTCAGCTCATGACCAAATCGGGTCACGAACAAAAATTTCATTAAAAAATTGACTCAAGTTGCGAACTTCGCATTGGGTGGCAACTGCGATTGCAGCCATCTCCCACCTCCCCCCGTGTGGGGAGATGGCCGTGATCATGCTGGGGACAGGTGGGGGAGGTGGCCGAGATCGTGCTCATCTTTCCTGCAGGAGCGCGCCCGTGATTGTGCCCATCTTTCCTGCAGGAGCATAACCGCAATCTTGGCCATCTCCCGCACAGCACGATCCTGCCTGTCTCCCCCGCAGCACGCCCGCGTTTGTACCCATCTCTCCCCGCCAGTGTCCCTGCAATCACGCCCGTCTCTTCCCCCCCCCCCAGTGCCCCCGTGATCGCGCCCATCTCACCCCCCTGCCCCAACACACTGGGATGACAGGCGTGATCGTAGTCATGGTGGTGATGGGGGGGGGGGCAGAGATGGCTGTGAGCTTTGCTGTTCTTTGTCACTTTGCTTCACATTTTCCTGATTTTAAAGTTACAGAACGAATTAACCTTATTTACACTGAACCTTATGGGGAAATTTAAATTGGCTCATGACCAGTTTGGGTCACGACCAGAGTCCTGGAACAGATTAAGTTCGTGAGCCAAGGTACCACTGTACTTACCTGTGAATTTTGCACCAGCATTTGGTAGGCTTTTATCAGAGAGTGAATGCTTGCCTAATGGGAAGCTATTACAGAATAGTACAGTGGAGGACAAGCTCCAGCCTGCAAGCCCAATCCAGCCCATGAAATTGCCCGATCTGGCCCAAGGAATAGGTGAAGGAGAGCCATGAGGAGCAGTGGGAGTTCAGTGACAGCTTTCCTAAAGTAATTGAGTCCAGTGGAGAAACTTGAATGAGGAATAAGAAGTGACTTGATGAAGGAAACAGCACAGCAGAAGACAGAGAAACTATATAAGCCTGCTTCTCTCTCAGACAGTAAACCTGTGCCTAGGTTTCAGTGCTCCCTTCTGCAGGTGGAACATCATGTAACTGAATGCTTCTTTAAACAGATAAACAAAAGCATTCCTTCCCACGTAGGAAATTAGAGGCCTGGCCTAGAATCCTTTCCTCCAGTCTTCTCGTTTTCTATGTGGTGGAAATTTTTACCACCTCAGTGATCACTAGGCCATTGTCAGGGACAAAGGAATTATTTGCTTTAATAATGAGAATTGGAAACTAGCAGCTGATTCTGAGCCCACACAGAAAATAAAGGAGAGGGAAGAGAAAGTGGGGAGGAGGAGAGCAGACAGCATTTGCATTGAGAGCAGGATCAGCACATTTCCCACTGCCTTTGTGAAGTCATCCAGCAAATCCTTTGACCTTAGTCTGCCTCATTGCTTCAGTGTAATTCCCCTTTTCTGGAAGGCAGTGGCTTCTTTGGGGTAATGAATGTCAGCTTCTGCTTCTTGCCTTCCCATTTAATCGCAGATTCCTATCATTAGCTGGAAATCACATTAGCAAAGTGGAGAACCTCCAGCCTCTTCTGAAGTTGCAATTTTTGGATCTCTCGCAGAACTACATTGAGACTCTGTACACAGGTATTCTTACATTCTACTTGACTACCTGTATATCACCCATGTGTTGTTAAATGTTTTTAGAAATGAACGAAGTTTTCGAATTTCTTAAAGTGCCACCTATGGCTGTATTGTGGAAAACAAGCCATCCTGCCCTTCAGTTTTATTAGTATTAAATCTGACAGATAGCCAATTTGACCAAAAGATGCCGGGCTAGGGAAACACTACACTTAAACAACAACTAAATCATTCAATCCCTGACCCCTTGCTTAAAGGGGGCCAACCCTGCACCCCACCCTCCCACAAAGCTCCATCCCTGATGCCAGATTCTGAGACCAGTGCAGACAAGTGCAGAAACAAATATTTGGCAGAAAATACATATAGTCCACTTTCTTGACCTCTGGTGTGAGAGCCACCTTGCATCCAGAAAACTAAGGCAATCTATATTTCTTTCCACCTTTGCCACCTTACCTAACTCTGCTCCTGCCTTGTGGTCTATGCAGATGAACTGCCCCAAAGCCTCATGGTCCTTGACCTGACAGGGAATAAATGCATGAAACAGAATGGCTACAGGTAAAACTATGAAACAGTCTATACCTGCCCACCCCATAGGCCTATGCACACACAGCTGTACCGGTGTGCAAACAATGTGTAAAGAGTGCACTCATGCTTTGGCAAACCTGCCCCATTTCTGTATCTGCCTGTTGTCTGCACATTGGGCAACCCACAGGAATGTGGGATCTTACATGTGCAGCACTGCAGAATGGAGATGTTAGTAAAGAGGGTGTGCCAAGTAAGTGCAGTGTGTTTGGCAAGAGGAAGGAGGACTTTCCAAAAGTGTGGTTTTAAAAAATATATTAAACCTTTGTGGCTGACTCCAAAAGCTCTTCTCCCTGTGTCCTGCATGGCATTCAATCACTGAAGAATTGGACATGCCTGAGAAACGGCAACAGGAAGTATACAGCTCCTCTAGCAAATCCATCTTGCTAGAATGATGGTCATGAGCTTTGGAGATGGACCCTTTTGTCTGACCCTCGCTTGATAGCTCTTGCATTCTGATTACTGTCCCAAGGGAGAGTGTGTTGGCTGCCCTACCCCATCTGATAGAGCTGGATAGCCAGGATGTCCCCAACCAGAGGGCCTCTGTCCAAGATGACGATGACGGTTCAGAAGACAGTGACTATGAGGACTGGCCTGAACTCTCTTGCCCTTTCAGCACAGAAAAAGGTACCCCAAATTGCAGACCTAGATTTCGGATGTCAGGATGATGGGGGAGCAAAGACCTTCAGGTTGCATTTTGAGCAAGAATGGTAGAATAGTTGACAGGTTGGTTGAGGGAGGTCCAGGGTGATATTCTCACTCAGCTCTATCTCAGCCTCACCTACCTCACAGGACTGTTGTGAGAATATAAAGGGAGGAAGAAACCCAGCTATACTGCTTGTGCTCTTTAGCAGAAAGGCAGGGCATGCATGTAAGCATAGATAAGGCATGTTGAGGAAAGGATTGTTACTATCATTATTACAGCTCTTCCTAATAGTTTGGTTTCTAAAAAATCTTTACCATGTTCACTTTCACCACTAATTTTATTCCCAATTTAGAGAAAAATGAACATTGGTAGAGTTTAATCTTTGTAAGCTAGTGTCTATATGTTTGTGTTAAGAGGTTAATTATAGCAACAGGAACACATACAGGAAGGCTTTGCACAACTCCATGTTTTTGGCTGAGCTGAATTGAAGGCAAAGAAGCAACTGTTCCAATATTGCACACCCTTGTCATAATCCAAAACTCCTGGAGTTCTAAGGTGCCTATACAGGCACACTCCTTGTACATACTGTTAGCCCGTGCTGATGCAGAACTCCATGTGCATCTAGAGCAAGTAGCTTCTGAATTACTGTGGCGTCATACTCAATGAAATGATGCTCATGAAATTGTTTTGGCCAGAACTGTGTATGCTGATACCCTTAAAAGTCAAACAGGACAACGTCTAGGCAGATTGGCTGAGATCAGCTGAAAAGTAACAGCATTGTGGGAAGGCAGTGCTGTTTCCCTTCCCTGCTCTGTTAAGAAGGAAAGCATGAGTAGATATCTGTACTCCTTGCCCTGAGTTCAGAGATCACAACAGGCAGAGTATGACATTTTCTTATCCTTTTGCTTTGGCAGACTTCTTTGCTGACCTCCATAATGAGTTTAGCAGCCGCTCAGCCTGGAGGAGAGAGGAGGCAGTAAGGGAGCACGAGACCCGTCTGGAGGAGCTGAAGCAAAGAGAGAAGCTGAGGGAACTGGTGTTCAACATAAACCAAGATAGTCCCAAGACACTGAGTGTATCAGAACTAAGAACCCCAGCCTCAAAGGATGACAAGCCCCAAACTGATGCTAACCCACTTCTAAAAACAAGAAATCCAGTATTTTGCACAGGGTCAAATATTCCAAAGAGAAAATCTGAGGGCACAAACCAGATCCAGATGAAATCCTCAAAAGAGGCATCAAGCTCAGCTAAAACTGCAAGCAAGGGAGTAAAGAAATGAGTACTGCATCCTTAAAAATAACAGTTTTGTATAAGCTTTATATTCTGTCAATTACAATGCTTCCTTGGCTCCAATAGGAAGATGGATTATTGTCCATCTATAAGGAAATATTGGGTAGTTTAGAAGGAAGCTTCAGTTAGAAATAAGAATCCCAACGTAGGCAACAGTACCTCTGAAAAAAGAGTGGGAATCTTGAGGCCAGCTGCAGGTTTACTTAGGTGTGGCCCCTTTCTACTAAAATGTAGAGAGACTTGCTCTGTGCTACAAATATTCACTGCATGAAAACTGGTTTAACTAGCAGCTACCCAAAAGATGCCTGGAGAATACAAACTTATGAGGCTGCACCCAGAAGTCTCTTGGCAAGCATAAACTCAGTTCCAAACCTGACTTGTGAAACCAAAGTGTAAAAAGGGTGGCTGAGAGACGCCCTTTAAAACAGACCCCAACGACTTGAGTCCTCCCAGTCTAGCAGGTTGCATGTGCTAGATGGGAACTAAAGTCCATTTGGGTTTATGGAAGATCACAGGTGTCAGCATCAGTTCTCTGAAAGGCTTGGGTAGGATTATTTATTATTGTAGTTGAGAAGATTGTTGCCAATCGCCTCACCAGCAGTGAACACCACCAAAGTGGGTATCAGGATTACAGCAGCAGGATTAGAAGATGGCAAACGGTTCTCTTTGGTGCTTTGAAGTTCTTAGAACTAGAAAGGAAAATGGGAGCACAAATCTTACATATATTCTGCTATGTTGTGTTCATAATAATGGACAAATAGTCTGGCATGTCAAATGTTGTTTTAAAGTGAAAAACCCTTCTCCAAGATTAATATATGTTTCCTTACAAATATACTTCATGAAAGCCTACTGAAATAACAGCAATGCTCTAAACTGTATGAAAGTGTGTCTGTGTAGCATGAGTGCTTGTGAATATAAGCAAGAAACTTGTTAAACTCCCCCTAACCAAGCTGCTTGGGTCTCACCAATACTTGGGTCTTAGTCTGAGAGGGAACTTCCCTTTCAGCCCAAATTGGCTTTGTGGCTATTCTGCCTTTGCAGAGGGAATTAAACCATTCAGCCTGAAAAGTTCCTGAGCCAGGGAAATTTGCAGTCAATGGGTCATGCTAGGAGTTTGTGCATCAAGGAAGATAATCCGTTTCATTTCTCTGCCTCTGAATGGTTATCAGTCTCAATTTATGAATGATTCTTCCCCTTCCTATGCTCTGTGCTCAAGTCATGCCTTTCTTAATACACTGCTGTTAGAAGTCTATGGATCTAACACAGCAAAACTTGGCCAAACATAGTACGGTATTCTCCAAGAATACCGTACTATGACCTTAGACATCGGTTGGATTCACTCAACACAACAAGCAACCCCATGTGGTTCCCATGGTTCAGAGTTTACCATGATCTACCTACAGACAATCAAGCGGTTTCTACTTTATGGTGGTTTCCATCTTCACTGCTCAGTCTTCCAACAGCTAGCATAGATCACATCAGCCACTGGGCCAGAAATTCAATCCCAAGATGCATTGCTCCCTGCCTATGTTGCCTGCCTCTTCCTCAGTGTTCCACACATACAAGCTGGAGTGGGGCCTGCAGCTGCCACTCTTTCCAGAGGACTCTGCAAACCTTGATCCTGAGCTCAAACACCATGGCAAGACGTGGTGCAGAGAAACAATAGAACAAATTATTGTTTCTTATTATGTTTTCTAAAGACCAAGCTTACTATAATGAAATACCACGACTCGCTTCAGATAACATGACAGACCAACAATGGTTAAAAATTCACCATGGCATGTTGCATTGTCTGAACACACCAGAGGCTGAGGGCTTATAGGATGCTTTGGATTCCCAGCTTCCCTGGAGCTGGTACAGAAGAAAACACATGGGCTGCCTTCCATGATTAGAAAGCAACCTTGGAGAATGGTTAAAGGGGGCAGGGAGAGGGGCAGAAGGTATGTGTGAAAGGTATCCTGAAGCTGTGCCAGTCTCCCTTCCTGAAAGGTTGTCACTTGTTGGCCAAAAGTGTCCATTTAATAAAAACGCAAAGCAGGGAGGTAAAGATTACCTCTGTTGTTCCTTCTGCTTTGCTTTAGCTAAGTGTGAACCTCCAAGTTTGGAGGCTTATGCCCATTTCCACAGTGTTGCACCCCAAGTTACTAAACTACAGAAATTTATTAAAGTCTGAGACTGCTCTAGTTTGCTGATTGAAATTTATCTAATGAATCCCCAGTTGTCACACTGAATATTCATAAGAAAGCTGGACGTCTATCTAGCCTGTGTCCTCTCTCTGACAGTGGACAGATGGGGATCCCAAAAAGCCCCAAGCAATGCAAAATAAAAACATTGCACTTAACCACTGTTCAGCCTTCACAAACTTCTCAAAGTCACAACTGTGCCAACAGCCTTAGGGCAGCCTTTTTCATCTTGGAAGTCCAAAACATCTGGAGGACACTAATTCCCACCAGCATGGCCACTGGTCAGCAATGTTGGAAGTCGGCAGTCAGAAACATATAAAGAGCACCAGGTTGGGGAAGGCTGATTTCAGACATTCAGTGGAAATCAATTCCACAAGCTGTGTGTGCTAACTCTAAGATTTAAGCTTTGGAAAAGTTCATCATCATCATCAACATCAAACAGAGGTAAGACTTGCATATGTAATTCTCAGCTCTAGCAGGATTATACCTCAGACTATCTGCCCTGGAAAGAATCCATCATTTATATAACTTGAGTTCTGCGTCCACAGAACTGTAGAAGAGGTCAGCCAGTTCCTGGGGTTTCAGCGTCGAAGAGCCTGCCAACAGATTTTTCATAGCCTCCAGGATCTGCCGCTGAAATTTCTGCATAATTTCCTGGAGCCTCTGGCACTTGTGCTGGAAGAGGGGAGAGGATGGGATATTAATGTGGACTGTTGCCATTTGCCCTCCACCCTCACCATGACAGAGGCCAGCCCACAAGCCCCGACACCCAGAAATGGAAGGATATGCTCGCTGAGAGCATCAGAGGCATAGTTGCCACTGCTGTGTTGCCCCTGTTGACCCACTCTGTCATGCCTACAGTCCAAGGCCATGTGGGAACAATCTGCAAATTGTTTCTCCCTCCCAGAACAGCATCAGCCCTTCTGGGAACTGTGGCAATGCTGGTACAAGGACAAGCTGTGGTCCAGCCTCTGTAACACAGCCTCCATGTTGCCAAATGTAACACTCAAAGGGAGATCAAGTGGATGAGTTGCAGATATGAATATAAAATGCTTTAGGGTTAAAGTAGGATTATCCAATATTGGGTATCCCCAGGATACACCCAATCCCTGGCACCTACTTGGTCCTATTCAGCACCAGGCAAGGAACTTTTGATTTTTTTCCCTTTAAATCGCAGGTTCATAGATTCAATTTGATCTAATTTATCCTGACTGAGCTTGCTGTTATGTGGCTCCTTGTGATTTTACCACTTTGTGTGTATTTCTACATTCTATAATTCTACATTCTATACACACATTCTATTGTGTGTATTTCTATAAAATATGCATGTTTTGAATTTGTTTTATTATGCTTTTACATTTTGGAAGCCAATCTCTTATCACTTTCAGAGCATTATAATTTTGAGGTTTGGTGATTCTCAGGCTTGGTTAGGGCATAGAATGACACAGAGCTGCAGGGAAATGTGGAGGTCATATACTCCACTCCGCTGCTTAACCCTGGATTTGCAATGCACCCCTAACAGTTGACCATCCAACCTCTACTTAAATACCTCCAGTGAAGGTGAACTCACCAGGTCCCAAGGCAATTTGTTTGACTCTCAAACAGCTCTTACCATTAGGAAGTTTCTAAAATTACATCCCTGAAATCTCACCCAGGGCAGTGGCCATGGGTGTTAAACCCAGAGGCTGAACACTGAGAAGTAACACAAAATGGGTATTGGGTCACCTGATTGTGATTCATGATCTCCAGAGCTAACTGATGCTGCTGGTAGAGATCATGTCGTCGATCGATTTGGCTCTGAAACCGAGGAGTCTCTCTGATGGGGTCTTTGTCACCAAAGTTTGGTGATTTCACCTGGGGAAAAGAAGTGATGTTGGGAACAAAGATAAAAGGTTTGAAGATAGACCTGCCAAGCAAAAGAGAAAGAGGGTTCTGTCAGGTACTTTACTGAAAACTCAAGCACGCTTCATGAATTCTTACAATTTCAACTTAAGTCAAAGCCCTAAAGCTAGGATGGGGCTCACTGTGGGATCCAGTATGCTTTGGCACACAACTCCCATCACCCTCAGATTTGCATGTCAACACATCTGGAGGGGTACCAATCCATGCTTTAAAGCAAGATGAGGCAGTGGGGAAGCCCCATTTTTAAACTTTAAAAAATTAAGCATAATGTTATGCTTAATACAAATTCAAATATTGACATACATATATACCTTTAAAAATCTCAACAATATGTATAAATTGTTACCATCAATAAATACTGCACTTCATGATAATTTGGTATTATAACAAAACACAGAACAATAAAATTATATCTTTGCAAAGATGTCATATGATAGTATTCTGTCTTGCTTTAAAACATCGTTAATCATTACCATTTCTCAAAAAACAAAAACAAAAAACCTGTTATTTCCTTGTCTTTGTTCTCAAACCCTAATAATATCAGCCAATTTAATAATGCTGCTCAAATCACATATTTCTGTCATGCATTCCATTAACAAAATGGTATCTTGCTGCTTTCAGTAACAGGTGGTAAGACATCCAGCTTCAGTCAACAAGTGATTCGTCCTTTCCTCATCATCTTGCAACATGATAGTCATATAAACAGAACAGTGGATTGGATCCAGATGCAAATCATACTTAGATTGATTAAGACCTACAGAATCAATGGGATTCCATTTAGCCATGGCTCACTTGTCCCCTTGATTTCAGTGGGTTTCCTCGAAGCATGAAATAATCAACTTCTAACTCAATTATTGTTAGCCAGATCAAAAGACATTTCCGTGTTCAAAATCTTCTTTCAGTATTTCTTAATTTTCGGTTACTTCCCTCAAATATGAAGAATATCTGTTCCTCCATTTTCTCACTTCCTTTCAACTAAATCCAGAAGCAATCTGGAAACTGATGTAACTAATGAAGAACAGGCTGGGAGAATCCTACAAGCTGACAAAGCAGTTCCCATCAAGGGCAGCCTCATATAGACAGCGAGCATCCTACCTTTAAGGGTCCTCAGTAATGTGCCCTCCACTGCACTCCTGAGCTAGGCAAAGTTGGCAGCAACTGGCAGGAGGAGGCTCCATGTATTCGCCAATTGCCACCTGTGACTGAGCAGGAATCGCTGGCTCACCTGGAAGGGTCTGGTGTGGCAGTGAAGAAGTGGATGCAAGGCAGGTGGCAATCCTGTGGAAGGATGGAGACCATGCTGCCTGTGGTGCAGAACCCTTCCGTGTCCACACAAATCCCACTGGCCTTGTCACTCAAGAAGGTCATCATGGTCTCTGCAGTGATCTGCCCTGCAACAACATGGATGCAGGAATCCTACATGAACAGCAATGACAACAGCCAGTTGGTTGTCCCATCAGCCATTTTTTATTTCCTTTTTCAAAGGTGTTGCAGTTCACATGGTCCTGAAGAGAAGGCTCTACCATCAATCAGGGGAAGGCAAACATGGCAGATCTGGGGAACCATTACAGGAGGCAAAGTGGGAAAGGCAGACAGAGGTGACCAATGTGGTGCAATCCACTGGCAGGGTCTTCTCCACAAGTCCCATAGGGAAACAAACTTTTCACATTAGGGACCAAACTATCTTGGAATAGCTTTGCACTCCTGAAAACGTTTGCCTCTAACCTTAATGGCTGCCCCATCCAAGCCAAGATGCAGAAGGGCTAGCTCTGTTTCCTAGGTGGTCAAGGAAAGGGGGACACTCTGCATGTGGTCAGAGGCACTCCACCTACTAGCTGCATCGGATTTCCTACAACTGCAGTTAGCGCACCATGACACAGCAGGGCATGTTCTGACCTACTAAGAGTCAAATGAGCTGTTTTTCTGTTTTGTGATTTTTAAAGAACACAAACATTGTAGGGGGGTGGAAAGGATCTGCAATTTAAGACCTTTGTTGCTTCCTGTTCTTAAAGAAACAAAATCTACATGGTGCAGTGGCTATGGGTGTAGGAAATGGGATGCATCAGCTAATGAGGAGAGTGCCTCTGATCACAAGCAGAGTGCTCCCCTTTCCTTGACCACCTAGGAAACAGAGCTAGTGCTTCAGTATCTAGGCTAGGGTGGAGCAGATTGTAGGGCTAAAGGCGGCAGCTTTCAGGAGTGGAAAGGTAGCCCATGATAATAGGTGTCTAATGTGGAAAGTGTATTTCCCAACAGGGCTCGCAGAATAGAGCCTGCCAGCAGATTGTGTCACAGTGTGTGAGGACGACACTTTTCCTGACAGCACAGATTGTTGCAGTGGTGTAAAGAAGCCGCTACCTAGGGGTCAGTTGCAATGCTTTCTGCATCTAGCATCAAGGTTATCTACATGGTGCAAAGAGGCTGAAAGGTCTGCAGCACTTCGGGTCGGCTCTGTCATTAGACATTGTGAGACACCCTCCTCAGGTGGCAGATGCTAGGAAGAGGCACCAGGTGCTGGAGAAGAGAGCCCTCTAAGCTCTCTTTTAATAAAATAAATATTTTAATAAAATAAAGCTCTGTTTTATTTATTTATTATTTATTAAAACATTTCTATGCCGCCCCATTCGCCGAAGCCTCGGGGTGGCTCACAACATAAAATTAAAATACAACAAACAAATTTCAGGGGTTCTGTAGGATGCTGTGCAAAATTCAATGGATGCCAGCAAGATTCAATTGCCAGTCCACTCACCTCTTTTCCTTTACCTCAGGCAACAAACTGCCTTGGGCCAGCCCTGGCAGAACTGTGTCAGATGAGGGTAACTTATAATGACACCCTGCGCTGCTGCTTATTTTGCACGAAGGCTCCAAATCCACTCCCTAGTACCTCCGGATGAAAGATACCAAGGACATGAAAGATTTTTTTCACCTAACGCTAGAATACCATTACCAGTTGGAGGAAGACTATACAGACCAGTGGTTTGACTTAGGGACAAGCTACATGTTACATTAACTGCACAGTATGTCAGCGAGTGCTCTTTCTCACCACTACAGTGTAACTGCACAAGAACTCCATTTGAACTAGAACCACCATGCACCAAGACGAGAGGTAGCTGTGATCCATCAGGGTATCACACAGGGAGCATCCTGAATGCCTGAACTGCCCTGTCGGGCTCTAAAGGAGCCCTGACAAAAGAAGCCCATTCTTTCAGATCCTGCACTTCCTCTGCTCACTTTGAACACTTCACCCTCCACATATTTTGAAAATATACCTGAATGCTGGCGCAGCAGCTGCTGACCAGCACAATACCGAGCCTTGGCAGCTTCCATGCGAACTGGTTGCTGGATGAGTGAGAACACCTCTAGGAAATTGAACTCCCCTTCACCGCTCCACCATCCTTGCCTCTGCGCATGTTGTCGTAGGTCCGCATGTTCAGCGGTAATGTCTGTTCCAATGCTCAGCTGGTTGGAGATGTTCCGGGCACCTTCTAGGGAAGTGGTGAGGATGCAGGGGAGGACAACAGATCTTAATCAGCAGGAGGTTTAAGAAAAGAATGGCTCCATTCATGGAACAATTCCAAAATACATGTTGACAATCTGAAAATTTTGACCTAAATGTTGCCTCTTAAAGTCCTTGATTTTCATCCTGTGTTCTGCTTCATCAGAACTTTTTAATCGGTTCTCTTGGACCTTAAAATAATCATTTTTCCAATGTTTCATAAAATAGCAAAAGACAAATTAAACCAATACAATTAAAATAGCAAATATATAAATATATAAATATGAGGGAGGGAGGGAGGGATGGCTGTGATCGTCACTATTTGTCCAGCAGGAGCCACTCTGGCTCCTAGCAACCACTGCAGAGCTTTCTCATGTCTTCTCCTAGGCTGCAGAAAAGCAGGACAGAAATCCTGTTGCCTATAATAAAATAGAGTTTGTGTTGGTGTGTCTGTCTGTGCCATGATGACAGGACCATAAAATCCAAACTTCTGAAACCCGGCATGTACACTAAGGGGACCACAGAGTTTCAGCCATTTACAGCATGTAAATCAGCATGTAAATCAGGGCCACCTCACATGCTGATCAGCATGAATAAATGATGGCATCCTAGTTGTTTTAATTTTTGAGCACTTTTTAAATTCTGTTTTATTATCTTGTATGCATCAAATTTCTTTTTATTGTTAGATGTGGTAAAGCACAACCTTATATAGGTCAACTGAAAATTAAGACCCTCTAAATTAATAGGAGCAATGTAGAAACATAATGGGAGCAGATGTTTATAGATAATAATAAATAATTGCTAGAATACTCTTATCCTGGTAAGTCCTATCTCAGAATAAGCCCTGTATTGTGGTCAGGTTCTGGCACTGGGTGATGCTTTTGTCTTCCTGAGAGAATCTGCTTTCCTTTCTGTTTTAGTTACTAGCCCTCATTTTTACAAAGGTACAATCTGAAATATGTGAGCGACGCCTGGTGATTTTCAGACGCTAAATAAAGATTTCCAGGGCTCATGGGCCAGTAGCTTGCCTCCTTCCCATGAGAAGCAGAAGCAAAGTACAATGTGCATATTGTAGTGGCAAGTGTTCCAGTCACCCATACCCACCTCCAGCATATTCCATTCCATTCTGACCAGTTTTCTGTTTCTGCAACAGCCAGTCAGCATTCTGGGCCCACTAAGCAAGCTGAATCTTCATTAAACTGTTGCATGTGTGTGTGTGTTATGGGGAAGGGGTTCCCCCAAGTCTGTTGGTACTTCAGCCTCTTGGGCATAGATGATGCTGTTTTGGCTACATAAGAATCTACACCGGAAGAATGAGTTTGCTATTCATAACTTTAAAAGAAGGCAGGCAGGCAGGCAGGCAAATAAACTAAGCAAATAAGGGGAGAAGAAAAGCAAGCAAATATGCACAGTTGGGCCATTTATCCAGGCTGTGGAACTAAGGTTCTTTCCATGCAGTTTCCAATCTGAGAGTATCAGTATCAAGCAAACAATGCACAGACAGTTGGCAATGAAACAACTGCAGCTACATTCAGTGCATCTTTGTTATTTACATCTCCTATCTTTTTCTCAAAAATGCTCACCTTGAATCCTCTGAGCAGCCCAAAACCGCCCGGCTGTTTCCAAGACCCACGCTTCAGTGCGGTCTGCCAGGAGGAAGGTGTTATGGTAAATGAAAGGGGTTGGCTCCTCCTTGCAGTTGCCCCCTTGGCCGTAGCGTTCCAGGAGTGTTGTTATGACCTGGAGGGCTTCGTGGGCACTGCTGCCCCGCTCCAGACCAAGCCTGAAATACAACATTTTGCTCTTATTAGCACCCCAGATCTTGCTGCCTACTACTTGGTTTCACTAAGTTTATACTACAAAAATAGAAGTTATCTATGCTGAACAAGCATACACCCAAGGACAAATGTTGAACTTATTATTTTTACTTTTCAAAAATCCTATTTTTCTCTACCACAAAATGAAGCTTAGTTCCCAGGAAACTTAAGTGAAGGGCTCAATCCTATACTTGTTTAGACAGAAAAAAGTCCTACAATTCCCATCATTTCCCAGCCAGGATGCTGAATTTTGTAAGATTTTTTTTCTGCCTGTAGGGGCATAGGATGCTGCCCTAAGTCCAGAGTTCAAAATTATGAAGCTGCACCACTGTGAGAAGGGAGGAAGCAGGAGAAGGCCCAGGCCCAAGGGTCATCACAACTCATCCCCGTAAAACTAAACCATGGTTTAGCATGACGGACACATGTGACCACAGTACCTTGGCCTTCACATGGACTAAGACTGCCCAGGCAGAACACACGGCAGTGTTGTGTGTGGATTCGTCAGGCTTGCATACCACAGCACGTGGTTTCTCACCTGACTAAATCCATGCCCAGCAAGGCCTCCTCTTCCCCGACTGGTTCCTTGGTCCACACGCCTTCATTGCCAATGCAAACACCATGTTCATTAGCCCCCATCTCAGCTCCCCACAGCCAAGCGGGTCGACTCAGAATGACTGCATGGGTCCTCTCTGCCTGATCCACTTCAATGTATGTGCACTGGAAAGAAAGCCTGGCATTGTAGGAAAGGTTGCATCCATGCAAACCCTAAAGATGATTTAGTTCTTACTTTTTTACACAAAGAGTGATCCTTTACCCTCCAGGTGTGTTGCAACATTATTCCCATGATCCCCAGCCAACATTAGGGGTACCAGGCTAGGAAAGGCTGTATTACCTTGCTTGAACTGAGAAAAAGGCCCAAAATGTAGGATGGAGTTTCAAAAGACAGAAAACGTGGCGTACTGTTAAGTGTATCAGGACTGAACTCAGATGATCTGGGTTCTAGTCCCCAGCCAGTCATGAAGCTCAATGGGTGACTTTGGGCCAATCACTGACCCTCGGTCTGACCTACCTCAGTGTTGCTGTGAGATTAACTAGAGAGAAGCAACAAAATTATGTAAGCAACATAGGATTCCTTGCAAAAAAAAAAAGCAATATATAAATACAAAATAAAGGTAAGGGCACCAATCTGGCACCAACCCCCTCCCCATCCCCATATCTGCCATTATTCCAGGATAGATATTTTACATCCATGGCACCAGGACTGCACTGCACTGTGGACTCATATTGTCCTCCTCCTCCTGATACCATATGGAACATATTGTGCTCTTTCAATGGTACATCAAAAATTGAGCATATGTGTGCACATAACTACAGCAAAATATATATTGGGATCCTCCCATTCCACATTGGTTTCTGGAATATTCTCCCCACACCCACAACTACTCCAACATACCCCCCAGTCCTTCCCAGCCCATGCCCATGCCCAGATTTCAACTCACCTGCACCTTTGTCCCTTTGGCATGACATTCAGCTGGGAAATAGACTACCTCCTGGACTTCGTCCCTTGGCCGGTCTGAATTCTTGCCAAAGATCACCTCTCCGTTAGCAGAGGCTGGCGGAAGCGAAACGAAGCAGTCGCAGGAGGAGGGTGCCTGGGGCTGAGGGTCAGCCATCCTAACTACAGGAAAACATAAAACAAGGCAGCTGAAGATTGGCACCTTCATACACACCAAGTTTGGATGAGAATCTCTGCTTTTTTCCATGGGACAGAGAGGGGCTCCCCCTTGGGCTTTCATAATCAATTCAATTTGATTTCAACGAGCTGGGTAGCTAAAGATATGAGGGTATCTAACATAAATAACAGATTCCTCGAAATGGTTAGATTCTGCTTATATTTACCTGTTTTTGATCTGAATGGGAATTCATTCCCCAAGAAAGATCATGGTTGAAGTTTGGGGGTTTCTTTGATGGAGGCAGAAGTGGTATTAGCAACTTAGGCTGGTTCACAAAGAAAGCGGGACTTGCCTCTGTTACTCATGCCCAATTTAATAGCTTTATTTATTAATTATCTTTATACCCTGCCTTTTTTCCTTTCAAGGAACTCAAGGCAGCTTACATAATTTGCCTCTTCTCAGTCTTATCCTCCCAACAACAACCCTGTCAGGCAGATGGGCTGAGGGTCTGTGATTGGCCCAAAGTCACACAGTTAGCTCAATGGCTGAGTTGATACTAGAACCAACTTCTTTTAAGTCCCACTTCCACACTCTTCAACATTACACCACACTGGCTTTCTATTTAAAGTGGCAATGCCAACCACCTGAACCCACACAGAATTGCCTGGGCCTTAAGATGGGTCTTTCAGGCCCTACCTGCAGCCTGCCATGAACATGGGCATGCACTAAACTTGCAGTGATGGACAACTTGAAGCCCTCCAGAGTTTGGCTCACAACTTGTATCATCCCTCACTATTGATTCTGCAAGGTAGGGCTGATGGGAACTGCAGACCAAAGCATCTGAAGGGTCACAATTTGCCTACCTTTGCAATAGGGACAGGATCTTTTTGGTGGTGGCCATGTATCTTCTGGATTCTCTCACCAAAATATGGCCCTCGCTTTTGTTTATAAGCAAACCTTTTTGTTGTTGTTTCAAACACTTTCTATTAAAACTTTGGTGAAATAGGTTTTAAACTACTGCTGTTTTTGATTCCTGTAACTGAATTGTGCTGTTTATTAAAAATTGCTTTAATCATTCTCAGACAAACCCACCTTACAGGATTGTTGTGAAAATAACATGGAGTAGAAGATGACTATGTAACTCTCTTTAGGTTTATTACAGAAACAAAAAGGTGGCATATAAATGCAGTATATATACATATGTTTCCTCCTGATCTTTCCTTGAAACCCATAGTTTTGGATAAGACTTTGCCTTCCCTTAGTCCCTGTATCTCACTGTCATGAGAAGCTGGGGGGAGGGCGCTATATTCACTCCTTGCCTCTATATTCCTCCTCTGTCCACTCACCTGTGTTTGCTCTTAGATTGTGAGCTCCTTGGGGCAGGGGCCTACCCTTTCACCATGTGTAACTGCAGCATGCATTGATAAGAGCTATTATAGCTAACAATAATAATCCCTTCCTCCTTCCCACAGTCCTTTTGTCTAAATCCTTCATACATCCTTTAAAAGTCAAAGCCCCCTCTTCTTACTCTTTATTTCCCCCTACTATTTGCAGCTTCGATTTTGCAGGGAGAAAGAGCATCATCACATACAGATATGACAGAGAAGCTCCCCAGATGCACTTTCCAGCAAAGGCTTCTACTCCAGAATGCTTTGTAACAATCATTCGCTGCTGCACCCCCCGCCCCCCATCGTCCATCCCCTTATAATTTCCCATTCTTCCACAACGCCCGAAGCCCAGAGATGGCTACCAACTCTTCCACCCCTTTCCAACTCTTCCATGCCCCTTAGGTAAGATCCCCCCCGCTCGACTTCTGCAAAGCATTCACACGCCATTACTCTCTCCAAGCCAGTTTTCCAATGCTAGTGTCCGCTAATGGATTGTGCATACACACAAAATACGTTATATAAAATATATATTTACAATTATATATCCGTTACTATCTCTGGATCAGTCTTTCTCAAACTGGTGCCCTCCAGCGGTATAGGGGATGCTAGAGGTAGTAGTCCAACCTGTCCGCAGCGCACCAGGCTGAACTACATTGAACTCGCCGAGGGATGCGCGTCCCAAGTTGCATCACCCGACCTTTCGCAGGTTCATATCCCCCCTCCCGCCATGCTCTTGCTGCGCTTGCTTTCCACACCCCCAAGTCCTCCTCCCCTAGTTAGTTCCAACTCACACAATCTTCCAGTTCCGGTCCCAAAAAGAAAAGGCCCGTGTCGGGTCCAGCGGCCTGGGCAGCCGGGGGCAAACTTTCCGACGCCGAAATCCAAGCTTGGAGCTTCCGCGCCGCGGCCGGATTCGATTTAGAGCGGCCCGGAAGGTGTCCAAAAAAGAGAGAGACGGAAAGAAAGTAGAGACGTTGCCTGTTGCCCAGAGAGAGGGACGCTAGAAGGCGCCCTTGTATCATCTATTGAAGCTTTCCCAAACTGGCCAAGTGGGGAGAATTTAAATTAGAATCTGGGCCACTGCCTGGCGTTTGACTCCTATAAAAGGTTGGAGAGCAGCTCACAGCACCGGTTCAAGATGTTTGGGCGCCTGAGGCACAAAAGATCCAGAACTGCGCTTTATTGCTGTTCTCACGTGCTGCGAAGGTCCCTCCGACTTACGGCGACTTATGAAGGAAGGCCCCCTCAATACGACCTCTCCTTGAGAGCCCTGCTCAGCTCGTCCAAACTCAAGGCTGGGGAATCAATGCTTCTCATGGTTGGTCTTCCTCTACTTCTGCCTTCGACTTAGCATTATATTTATATTCCACCTTTTTTACACTTTCAAGGAACCCAAGGCCACTTAGGTAGTTCTCTTCCTTTTGTCCTCACAACAACCCTACGAAGTAATTTATGTTGAGACCGTCCCAAAAAATCCCAGTGAGCTTCATGGCCCAGAGGGGGCTAGATCTTGGAAATCCTGTCAGTCCCAACATGCTAACTGCTATGCCACCCTGGCTTTCAGGTAGTTCTTATTTCAATTTGCCCTGCACTAAAAAAACTGTGTCATTAACTTCATTTTCTATACTGAAGGCTCTTAGCATCCAATCCTTACTGAAAGCTAAAGGTGGAATGGCAGTTGACTTTCCATATTGTGGAGATGGGGTACAGGGAACGAGATGGGGATTATGGTACCCTTGTGTATCCATCTTGCCATGTTCTGACCATGTCAGTGGACATGACATAGTTGTGCAGACAGAGAAGGGACAATTCACTTGAGCATGACTCTAAAACAAAAACAAAAATCCAATCTAGTTTTAAAATCACATACAAAATCTGCATTATAGTACTTTTAAAAATGCTAAGCTATTGCACAATGCTATTAAGTGTAGATTCCCATTTAAAAGTTAAAAAAGAACAGGTTAACAAGATTGTTTGAAAATAGAAACCGATTGGAAAGACTAGAAACGCAGCTTTTTAAGGGTGCAGCCCTGGCATATTTAGGCCACAAAAAATAAAATAAAAATAAAAATAAAAAATGGAATGCTGGTAGATGTAGGGCTTTTTTTCTTTCTTTCTGAACATGCATAGGATTGTGCCTTTAAGGAGGTGGTCTCATGGCCTCCTGCTGGTATTATAAGGGAGATGCAGGATTATTTGGAGCTCCAGTGTGAAGTTCCTATGACCTCAGAATTGAGAAAGAACCACACCAGCTGCCCCTCTGAGGCTACAAATTGGCCTTAGAGTGCAGGAAGAAGAGTGTGCTGGGGGGCAGTAAGGGGAGGAGGCTGGGGCCAATGGCTCGCACAATTTCCAAATGGCACCCCAGCCTTCTTTCCTCCCTCTCCACCCCACTACAACTAGATAGCCATTTGGGGCCACATAGATGCTAGGTGCAAGGTGTGGCACCAGCAGAGACTCAGTGCATGCATTGGGACTTCTGCATCCAGTGGCTTCTGTGCAATCAGGGCAGAAGTTAATGGAATGTACTCTAAATCAATTTCTAAATGTGCATATTAACTATGTTTCATTTAAATGCAATTGTGCATACATGTGTGGCAAAAAGGTGCAATTAAATGACGAAGTTTAGGAATGGAAGAGTCTCAGTACATCACCCTCACATTTTCCCATTGTTAAGAAGCTTTTAAGTAGCTCATATAAGGCAACTTCTCCAACCTGGTGCCTTCTAGATGCTTTAGGCCTTAGTTCTTTTCATACCCAGTCATCATTGCCAATGGTCAGGAATTCTTGGAGCTGTAGCCAAAAACATCTGGAGGGTTCCAGGTAGAGGAAGACTCCCAACTGGAGAGAGTGTGCTACTGTTCTGTTCTTTCCCCCAAAATCTGAAAAATGAGTGTAGGGGAAGCACAGGAGGACAAAAGGTCAGTGATAACCAACCCTGGGGAGATGCCCCATAAAAGAGTGAGTGAATAAAGTGTGTTTCCTCCCAGAATCAGCATCCAGTTCTGAAGGTGCTCTCGTTCCTAGGCATCTTGCGTTCCACACTGATGCCTCATGCCCTCTGAGCACGGGCAGGTGGGTGAGCGCAATGCTTCTTTTTGTTCCACACCCATTTCCCAGTGAGCCTGTAATTGTCGTCTTTTTAGATCCTGCTGTGATTTTGCCTTGGAGACTGGTCAGAGGACTGCACCCATGAACTCAAGCCTGAACAAGTTTTTGGAATAAGAGAAAGTGTCCACTTGGTTTTAAAAAAATGCAGAGAAGGGTGGAGAAAGTAAGAGGCAGAAAGTAATACTCCCTACAGAGTCACTAGTCCTGTAACCTCCTCCCTCCAGTTTGTACCCAAGGCATTATTTATAGGGATGCTGTTCCACCCTGTTGCCTCACCCGTAGCTTCCCTCCTCTGCAACCGGTTGGTTTAGGCTGGAACTTACTCCAACCTGAGTTTTATGAACTATGCTCCGGAAACTCCTCCCTCAGCTGCTACAGAGATAGAGCCTCACCCTTTGAGAAAGTTCTATCTTTCAGCTTGAATTCCAAGGTGGTGCACGGGGCTTCGGAAGGACTTTTTCTTGTGCTTGCTTGATGGCAGAATGTGCCTAGGATGTTCATCTTTCAAGCCTTAGTTGCTTAGGGAGGGGGGAAGCATTTTTCAAGTCTCCAAAAAGAGAGGGGATGAAACAGCAACAAAGTAGGTTTTAGTGAACGACCTGCAAAAGGCTCAGGAATTGCAGAAAGAACTAAATTGGACTTTCTGTGTTTGGTAGCTGGGGGTTTTAGTAATTAACAATGTATTCCTATTGATGCAATCCTATCAGAGGCTTGCATTCTCCATCATCTGGCTTTGCCCAGTGCAATGGCCATCTTTTGAATCGGCATACATAGGCAGCCCCAGTCTCCTCTCCTCCCCACTCCCAGCACATCCCCTTTCCCTCTCTCCAAGATGCATTTGTGTTTTCAAAGAGGCAGCCAGCATGGTTCTTTCCATGCCAAATGCAGAGGGGCAGGGACTTGCCAATGTGCTGGAGGCAGCACCTTGGTGCAGCGATGCCATCTTATGGCATTCCAAATGATGCTGGAAGACTGTAGGACTGTCCACATACAGGAGTGTATAGTTTGCCACAGACCAAATATTTGCCACTGGGACTCGGGCCTTTTCAGTTATGGTGGTCAAACTCTTTGAGCAGTTTGTAATACATGGGTTGTTGTTATTATCATTTGTTGTCAAGTCATCTTCAATTTATGCTGACTCTATGAATGGAAGTCCCCCAAAATGTCCTATCCATGCTAGCACTGCTCAGCTCCTCTAAATTGAAGACTGTGGCTTCCTTCATGGACTCAAGTCATCTCATATTTGACCTTCCTTTTCTTATTCTACTTTCCCCAGCACGATTGTCTTCACCAGGGAATTTTGCCTTCTCTCGATGTGCCCAAAGTATTACTGTCTCAGTTTTGTCATTTTTTCTTCTCGGGAAAGTGCTGGTTTGACTTGAACTAGGACCCACTTATTTGTCTTTCTGTTGGTCCAGAGTATTCATATAGCTTCCTTCCGGCACTATGTTTCAAATGGATCAATATTTTTCTTGTCAACTTTCTTCACTGTCCAGGTTTCACACCCATATTGGGAATAGAATAGTATGGCTGATCTTGGCCTTGCCCTCCAGTGAAATATCCTTACACTTGATTATATTTTCTAGTTCCTTCATTGCTGCCCTTCCAAGGCTCAGTCTTCTTCAAATTTCTTGGCTATTTGAGTCAATGATGAAGCTGAGGTAGATAAAATCTTGCACAATTTCAATTTCTCACTATTAACAGTAAAGTTGTGTAATTCTTCTGTCGTCATCCTGCTTTTGCACATTATCTTCCATTTCAAAAAGGAGTCATTTCAATACATTGCTGCTTTCCGCCAGTAGTATGGTGTCATCTGCATATCTAAAATTAGTGATGTTTCTTCTGCCAATTTTCACTCCTTCCTCTGATTCTAATCTAGGTTTTGTGTACTGTCGGAACAGATAGGGAGATAAAATACATCTTTGTCTGACATCATTGCCTATGGGAAACCATTCCATTTCTCCATATTCTGTCCTAGCTGTAGCTTCTGTCCATGATACATCAGGACAATCAAGTGCTGGGGCATACCCATGTCATTCAGGACCATCCATATCTTCTTGTGATCCACACAATCAAAGGCTTCACACTAGTCTGTAAAGCATAGACGGATCTTCTGAAATTCTTTGGTATGCTCCTGTAGCCAACTTGCATAAGGAATTAGTGCAATGGTTCTGTGGTTGCTGTTCTCTTTCACATCTCCCTTCTTGGGTATTGGAATGTATGCTGAACATTCCCAGTCCGTGGATCATTGTTTTGATTTCCATATATGGTGGCATATTCTTGTTAGGATTTGGATTGGTTCATTCTCTGCAGTTTGGAATAGTTCTGTAGGTATCCTATCCATTCCAGATACTTTCTTCCTGCCAAGTACTTTCAGAGCAGTTTTCATTTTGCTTTCTCATACTGCAGGCTCTTCCTCATAGGGTTGAAGGAATCTCTTCTTTTTGTCTTAACTTACTTATTTTACAAATATCAATTTTCTACATTCCTTTGAGAGGTTTTGTAAAAGTGATGGATTTTTTTTAAATGTACACAAATTATTATAAATAAAAGAATTATACAAAAGTTGTTCACTGATGTTGGTATTACTTTCCTCTACAAGTCGGGTCTGCTGGTCCCTTTGTGAAATAAGAGGGGCTGAGCAATTGTTGATAGATTTGCCAAGATCCTTTGAATGAGAAGCCCCACTAAGATG